GCTTGGATGGAGCTCCGAATTATTCTCAGAACTTACTCCTTGGGCATCGCCACACCACTCTCGAAATGTGAAAAAGACGAAAATGTCGCGGATGCATTTAGCCAGGTTCTAGAGGGAAGTTCTTTCTCATTTTGCTCATTTCAAGAGTGGTGTGGCCATGCCCTTTTTCATATCAGCCACGCGCCCAGCACTGTATTCACCCGCATCCTGCTTGCTGATCAGCAGCCTTAGGAGTCTTGTTTTTTTTTTTGCTCCATCTATTGGTGGGGAGCAGAACCTGCTGGAAAACGGGTCCCGCAACCCTGTACATCTGAGTTTATATGCCGGAACTGAAGACCAAGTTTCCAGTATCTATTCCTCCATTGCAGCTGTAGGTCTGCCTTTACAGTTTTCGCATTTTGCAGTGTGCTTTATGACAACAGAACAGTTGTGCTTAGATCTGCATCTGTAGGTGTGCTTGCAGTACGTGGCTGGCGGGCTAGGCGAATGCGGATAAAGGTTGCTGTGTTTCTTCCTGTTTCGATCGGCGTCAAGCTGCGGAATCATCCTATAGCTGTTCTGGTTGATTTATGTGTGTGAGCGGGGTAGCATTTGAGAAATAGCCGCCGAGAAAATAGGAATAGGCAATGTTGATTGTAGGATGCGTGGGTGAAACGAGAGCCAGTGGCTAAAAGGCGGTGATTGTGTGTGAGTTTATGTTAACGCCCAAGTATTGACAGTTTTGCGATACAGTTTACTACTGGTGGGTCAAGACCTAAAGGGCTTCGTTCGACACCACTTGAAGTCAAGGGTTGAAGGGAAATTCTTCGTTCGAGCCCACCCTAACCTTTTTTTTTTTTTTTTTTTTTTTTTTTTTTTTTTTTTTTTGCTGGAAAGCAGGTCCAGCGTCCACCCTAACCTGGCAGAGGAGTTGTTTCTACTTTCCGCCTCTAGAGCCAGCCCTCGAAACTCCAGTGTGGCCGGGGCAAATTCGCACTTGAGCTCAAGGTACCTCTCAGGGGAGCCTTGAGTTCAAGTGCCAGCGGATAGGGCCAGCACTCCAAGTGGGCTTTTTTTTTTTGTTTTTCTTTTTTTCCAGCAGGTGATCCTGGTTCAGGATTGGTCAAGCCGCGGAGTTCGGTTTCAAGTGCGGCCGTTTCAAGTATTTTGTGAAGTGCACAGGGAAAGAAGATTGCAGTAAGGATGATTTAATCACGATTTTTGGGTTAGGGCGGACTTGAGAGTCGAGACTCTAGGGTTCTCTAGTGGTCTCGAACGAGGCCCAAAGGCTGTCTTGGCTGTAAATATCCACAGTCCTCTTCGTCCAATTTTCCTTCTTGCACTCTCATGCCCTCGTCCCCTTTTACCCGTTTCTACTTTTTAACTCAGTCGATGTCCCGTCTACCCATTATGGATTGACCCTGCTGCGATGCCGCCGTTGCCTTGCAGTCCATTCCCCTTCATTTACTCCTATCTTTATTAAACCCTGCTTAAACCCCTACATCTTCAAAAAGGCCCACTCTGCATCCAGCTTCCTCTGTCTTCTGCTTCATTGGCGAGGCTGCGGAGGTCCATCCTGGCCGGCACTTCAGGTGGGGGTGTAGGGACAGTGGTTGGGTAGGAGGGTGTAGGGTGACAGTGACTGAGCGGGGAGGCAGGTCCGCGGGGGGAGGGGTAGGGGAGGGAAATTAGGGATGTGTTCCCGCACGGGGCCGCACCCATCTGTGCAAGCTGGTCTTCATGTTGTTCTGCAGGAATCAGTACGAAGTTCGTTGGTTGAATATGGCACGAGAAATGATCGTCGGGGAGAAATTCCCAAGTGTTCTCTGTTGTGAGCCAGGGGTGCCACTGTAAGGCTGGGACCCCACTGGCTGGCGGTTGCTGGCCGCCAGCCTTTGGAAGAAATGTTTTGAGACCCCACTGCTGGTTGTCAAACACAAGCACTTTTGTTTCCACTCTGCCTACCTCCGCTTTTATAGCACACCAACCAATCCCCGTGCCCCCTTTCCGCACAGGATGGCCGGTACGCTGGCCAACGTCTAGAGTCCGCCAGCATACCAGCCATCCCGTGCGGAAAGGAGGCACTGGGATTGGTTGGTGTGCTGAAAAAGCGGAGGCAAACTTGCCCGAAAAGGCAAGTCTTCCTTATCGGGTAATAGAAACCTTGGGAAGTGCCGAAAATTGCTGTGGCAGTGGGGTCCCATTTTGCTTGCCCATTCCCGTCGGCTACGATTTGTGCTGGCGGATGCTTTCCTGGCCGCCAGCTACCGCCAGCCAGTGGGGTCCCAGCCTAAGTCACTTCGGTGGTCTAGTCTGCATAATCTGTGTTGTTGGAGTCCACCCATGTATTTGTAAATTTTTCCATCAGCTGTTTTTTTTTCGGGGACTCTTCAGTTTCTTCTTGTAGTTTAGATCGCAGGCTTTTCCAAGCGTCCTGCGTCTTGGCGGTTATTGTATCAGCAATGACTGCCTTGGCCTGCTGGGTTGCAAATGCGCCCTCACCCCGCTCATAGGCACACCTCATTCTCCAAATTGTCATGAGCAAGGCCAGGCGGATATAGTGGAACAAGTTGAGCATGAAGTGGGTCCAGTTTGGGTCCAGTCGATTCCAGGAATGAGGGTGCCCAGGAGAGTAGATTTTTTTTTTTTTTTTTTTTTTTTCAACCACCAGTACCTTTGTCGGTTCGAAAATACTCGGCCTGCGACCTTTCAGGAGGCCGAAACGAAACGACGGCCGCCGCTCAGATTGATCAACGTTGGGCTCGGCCTCCTGAAAGTTCGGGTGCTGGCAAGAACTTGTCGAAACCGAACGCCAAGGGTACTACCGTCTTCCCCCGAACATAACGCACCCTAAAAATGAATGTATACAAGCTATATTTACGGCCAGTACAGCCAAAATGAGGGTGCGTTGTGTTCGGGGGAAGACGGTAGTGGTTTAACAGACATGCAATTGTACTGATAGCAAACTGTCCGAATCACCTACTGAGAGTGGAATTTGGCAGGTAGAACTACACAGCTGTCTGGGCTGTTTGTCTACCTGACATCCTATGTTGTTGTTGTTGTTGTTGTTGTTGTTGTTGTTGTTGTTGTTGTTGTTTTGGGTGAGTAATGATATGTAGCAATGCTGTGATTACAGCTAGACTAACAGACATGCATTTGTAACTGACAGCAAGCTACCAGGCTCATCTGCCCACGGGAGGTGCTGGCCTGTAAGATAGTGCCGGGCAGCATCCCACCATTTCCAGATTGGCACCACCATCGGGCAGTCCAGAAGACAGTGCTCCAGTGTTGCCTGCTTCCTCCGGGAGATGAGGTTGCAAAATGTACAGAGGGGAAAGCTTTTTATTTTTTTTTATTTTTCTAAGAAAATTCCACCTCCTGACTGCTGTTAGGAGTGATGATAAGAGCATACACTCTGCTGTTTTTGTTCTAGGTATGTTCTTTGCATTACCCAGTCTGGAGTAGGCAGACGTCGATCTATGTATGATCTGAACGACTGAGCCCACCCTGAGCGCGAAGCCTTCACTTAACCAGCAGTGAGAACCCGCTCCCGTGGAGGGCCCCCTGATGATTCTCTACTCTTTTACCCCCCCTTTTCACTCTAAGCCCACTCAGAGCATGAGAGCTCCACTGATGATCCTCTACTCTTACTACTTTTCTCTCTTTTTTTTTTGTTACTTCAGCCACACGGGCAGCAACATATATGTTCATTGGCATCCTACTTCCTGATCAGCCTTTTTTTTTTTTTTTTTTTTTTTTTTCCTGATCATCCTTAGAAGCCTTCACTTTGGATTTGTCTTAAAAAAAAAAAAAACATTAAAAAAAAGATTTGTCTGACTACTGAACCCGCTTGGAGCAGTAGAGCTCCCCTGACTATTCTCTACCGTCTTCACCCGAATAGAACGCCTCGTCATTATCCCTGCATCTGGACTGAAAGTTGGGCCAAAAAATGCAGCTATAATGACCGGGGGTTCTATTCGGGTGAAGACGGTAGTCCGTTTCTTTTTTTTCTTTTTTCTTTTCCTTTTTTTCGTTTTTCTTACTCCTTTTCTCTTCAGCCACGCACCCAGCACTTTGTTCATTCACATCCTGGGTGCTGATCAGCATTACAAGCCTTCACTTCTGGTCTGTCTGACGAGTCATGACGACTGAACCCGCTCGGCACTCAGAGGCCTTCACTCCTAATCTTAGTAATCT